GATGGTTTTAATAAAGGGAATGGGAAAAGTATAAAACTTCAAATCATTGCATGCATATACTCTAATAGAATCATTTATGAATGAATTAATTCAAAAGGAACTAGGGCCGCTGGAATTGTAACGATTTTATTTGTTTTGCCTAGACTACTTAATTTCTACTTTGTTTTTTTTTTTTTGCGTAAATGCATCATGGGTCGTACGAGCAAACCTCATACAGTTGCTATATATACGCAGAGAAACAAAGGCATGTTGAGCTTTTGAAAAAAATCGAAGCACTTTTAGGAGCTTCTAGACAAAAGTGTTGAGGTCAAGCATTAGGAGGGCCACATGAAATTAGGAATGGACTTATTATTGTTTTTCCTCAATCAATTTCCACTTCGAGAATGGCTCAGGAAAAAGATTTAGAATTGAGTCATATGACTTGTCCTTTAGAGAAACCTTCCAATAATTGAACGTATACATTTTTGTTATCTTGGCAACTTTTATCCATTCGCTTGCTCTTGATAAAAATACCATTCTGTTTCTCTTAAGCTTGCTTGAAAGCTTGCAAGTTCCTGAGCCTTATGAGTCTTAACGGCTTATGAGCTGTTTTATGAGTTTCGTTGCCAAATCTCTTTTATAAAATAAAATGATCATTCAACAACTTCAAAGACGTTCAATTTGTGTAATCTTTATTGTCGTTTGTGATATCCAAGAACCGCTTTGTCTCAACTCTCTCTTTAAAGGGACTCTCCCTGTATATAGAGCTGTAGATTCCTAATCTATCAATAAAGGAATAGAGGCCAAAAAAATCACCCAAAAAAGTTTCTAACCTGTCGAATACGATGCATTACGGGCGCAAAGAGCTGTTGCGACTTGGCCGATATCTTCCCGGATCGACAACCCTGCGATTAGCGCAAATGATTAAACCTTCAAGTACCTAAGTAAACGCTCGGACCCGGGCCGGTAATTAAAAGCGGACGGGGGGTGCGCAACCGAGCGTGGCCCGCGTATTGTTGCATTTGTATGCGTTCGTCTACGTCCATGTAAATGCGCCCACTGCTTTCCTCCGCGTGGGTGTGGGTGAAATTTTTTGTCCGGATTGTGTGTCGGGTCTATTTTCAACATCCGTCCGTGGATGCGTATGCAAACCAGAGCCGGGGCCTCGACTCCAAAACTGCCGTGCCACGGAGGAACGCCGTATGAACCTTCAGGCGTTGCCAAATTTCCGTTGATAAATCGCGGATTTTTGGGGAAATTTGTAGATATTTTTCTCCCAATTTCTCAGATACTTTTTTTTAGAGTTCCTTTATACCCTGAGTTAAGACATCTCGATTATTAGCTGGCCTAAGCTGGCCATCCGTGGCGTGGAATTGTGATATATCGATTGCTATGTCATTTAAACCTATGGAAAAGGATTGATAAACAGGGCGTTTGCAGCAAATACCTTAATAATCGATTCTTTACCATAGGTTTAAATGGCAGAACAATCGATACATCGCAATTCACGCCGCGCCACTGCTGGCCATAGTGCCACAAAAGTGTGCACCCAAACGAACGATATTGAGGGATAAGGATGAGGAATCCTGCGATGTCTGTCACCCAAAAGCAACACCATCAACAATTACCGATCAAAACCTAACCAAAGAAATTGCAATAAAATAAAATGAGATTGATTTGTAAATAATTTCTTGATCTATTTTCATTTTGGTGCGATGAAAATAACACTTTACTCTTGATAAATCACAATTAGGCTATGTTTTCATTATTTTTGTCTACATTCGAGCCACCGTCATCTTGATGCGCTCTTGTGACTCCATTAGCGAGGACCAATCAAAATTGGAGTCTTTTTTAGGCCACTTTCAGCCCAACCAAGCCCGACCAGAATTGAGATGTCGTAACTCTGGGTAAGAAGGGACTCTAATTTTGTTCGCAATTTCACCTAAAGTTCTTGAAAATGTATCGGAAAAATATTCACAAGTTTCATTGAAAATAAACATTTTATCGAAGAAAATTTGGCAACTCTCGAATGTTCATATACGGCGTTCTTCCTGAGTACGGCAGAAAACGCATCCGCGCGCGGAACGGATGTTGGAGAGAACCCGAGCCGTGGAGTTTCGTGCCGGTGCTGTGAAACCCGCGAAAGTCTCGCATTTTTCTACTAAATCCGAATGCCTTCGACACTTTTATGTTCTCGGGGAACTTTAGAAGCCTAGACAGGTGTCCGTTTAAGAAGGAATTGAGAGGACAATACGGTGTTTTTCTCCTATGCGGAGACAACGGCTTTGATTCATATGAAGGACCGATGTTTTTGGTCCGAGTAAACTGATTTTTCATTGGAGGTGGTAGGAACTGAACATCAGTTGTCAGTCCATCGCCGACAACTATTTACATGTGGCGTGCGTGTTAAATGCGTAAAAAAATGCGTACAATTATTGGCATCAACATGAATCAAAGGTCCCACTTAAAAAGAACCTCAAAAATAGATTTTCGACTTGGCGCGCCATCAAATCTTGGGATACTTTCCGCTTTGCAAGGCGAAGTTATAGTCTGTCCCAGATACGAAGAGCCCTGGAAAATCGGAATAATTTGCACGATGTAGAAGCAAGGTATCGTTCGTTCTATTGTGTCCGACTAATCACCGAGCCAACCCCGCACCGCACAGAGGGTTGGTTATGAGCTCCGCGGCGCGTCGGCGTCTTACGCCGGGAATCCGCTCCTGGGCCTCGGGGAAAACCATCGCGGAAAGATGCGAAGGGAGTATGCGTTGCCTCAAGGTGGCTTGCGACCCTCTGTGCGACGCATGTGAGAGGCGACGAGATGACAGGTGACGAGGGTCCAGGCACCCCAACCCGCCAAATAGTGCTAATTACTCTGATTTTCCAGGGCTCTTCGTATCTGGGACAGACTATAGTTCAGTTGCCTATCCGAACAAAACCCAACTGGCACTGATTTCAATACCGAACTCGCAAGTATGATCAATGAAACCATGTGGTCAGGTCGTACCTCAATTTTTTTATTTATTTATTGTGTTTTTTGCAGCTAAAAATGAGCTCTTAACAGCTCGAAACGTCCTGCCTTTTAGTGTCTGTTTAATGTTTTAGTCTTGTTGACCCATTTTTTAATTCCCTCCCTATTTATTTATCACGGAGGTTTGAATTAAAGGACTCTCATTATCAATTAAAGCATATCAAGCACCGATTTAAATGAGGGCATGAGAAGTATCATACAGTGACCACAACGATTGTGCATTCCTCAGGCAACTTCCGCGGTGATCTGAAGCGCCAGCATACGTCAGCGGATTCCGTCCGAAGGTTCTCACAACACATTTAGGCCCTACATCCATAGTATTCTCGGAAAATTCAGGTAAATTACAGAGAAATGCTCAGAAGAATTCCTCTGTAAATAAGCCGGGACAGTCGCATCTGGGAATCATACTGCCGTGCTAAGGAAGAACGCCGTATGGACATTCGAGAGTTGCCAAATCTCCCTGCATAAAAATTATATTTTTGAAGAAAGTTGGGCATATTTTTCCTTGAAATTTTCAGATATTTTTGATTATATTGCGAACAAAATTTTCTGAAAAATTGGAGGAAAAATATTCAGAATTTTCCCAGACGATTCGTTATCCATCGAAGGAAATATAGCAACGCCTGAATGCTTTATACGGCGTTCTTCCTTAGCAAAACAGCACTGCCGTGCTAAGGAAGCACGCCGTATGAGCCTTCGAACATTCTCAAGTTTCCTTCTTTAAAAACCGAATTAACAAGAAAAATTGTGATTATTCTTTTCCAAAATTTTCAGACAATTTTGTACGCAATTTAATCTAAAATATCTAAAAATTTCAAGGAAAAATAAGAAGGAGTGTCGTCAAAAATACATGTTTTATCAAGGACAATTTGGCAACTCTCGAATGTTCATACGGCGTTTTTCCTCAGCACGGCAGCATAACTACGGTGAGTGTAATCAGTTTCCTCGGCGGCCGGAGATCTCTAATTAACAAGACGGAGAAATGAGGTAAGCCCGGTTTCCTCCCCGTTGAAAACAAGATTATTGACTGTGAAGGGCAGTTTTGGAGGTGAGACTACCGGTCGCGCGGCGCCTTCCAAGTGAGGGACCAAGGAACTACACCCTGCGGGTGTTTCTCTCTGTAATTTTACTGCTGCTGCCGATGCGCGATGCATCATCCTTCTTGAAACGCCCCCAAAACGAAGCAAACAGATGCCACGAGCTGTTCCTGCATTGGTTTTTATCCGATTTTGGAGGAAACCGTCATACCTACAAAATTGAAGGATTTGGCTTGGAGAGAAATGTTTTCAATGGGTCAGTTGCGCTCGTTACAGAATCGTGTTTTGATGCTTGATTCTTGTAGATTAGCTAAAAATAATACGATCCGTCCAAACCGCAACTTTCCACGTTCTATATTAACCGAAATATCACCCTTTGAAAAGTCGGGGTTTTGACGTCATCCACCCCGCGGAAGTGACATTCTGGCAGGGCCGGATTTACATTTTTTGGGCCCTAGACTAAACTTAGGGTGGCGCCCCTAAAAGTAGGCGCTCTCGTGGGGGGGGGGGGGGTCCCCCAAACGCCCCTCCCCTCCCCTCCAGATCAGAAGGAGGATGTTAGGTGTCCGGAAAATGTTCAAATTCACCTTTAGAAAAACACCTTTGTCAACCACAACGTAGACATTTTTTTAATAAATTCTCAAAAATGTTGCGCCCCTCAAAATGTTGCGCCCTAAGCTATAGCCTACGTAGCCTATTGGTAAATCCGGCCCTGCACCCTGGTTTCTTCTATTGCTTACATCAGTCGGTGTGACGCACATTTGCACCAAGTGGTCAACGAGAAAATCGTATGAATGCGGAGTGGAAGAAACCAAGGGCGTCACTACCGCGGTGGATGACGTAATTTATGAGCGGCGCCTCAGGAGTTACATGGGTGTGCGTAACTTTTGGATCAGCCTGTACATGAGCATGCATTAAGAGCGAGACCCTGTGAAAAATTCTCGAGATTCTTACCTTCAAATTCTGTTTGTAGCCACATCGCTGGCAGTAGTAGGCCATGCACTCCGGCGGGATGGCCGGCCTTTGGAGGCTGTTGGCGGTGTCGTGGCTGATCGGCGGCGGCGTCGGCTGCGGCTGGTCCTCGACCAGTTTTCGGTAGTGGACGCGGAAAAGCGGTTTGGCGACCCCCGTCGGCGTGTTGCTCGAGCCGAAGCGTCCCATCGAGATCCAGTTTCGATTGCACTTTGTTCACATCTTTCCACATAAATAACGCTAACGCCCGGCTCCGGGAACTCGGCACCGTTAGCCCAGACGAGGCATCGTCCGTTTCACACCGCTCTCCGGCCTTTGAGTCATCGCGAGATTCGTCCGACTGTAAGCAACAGAAAACAATCATCCGTCAAAAAGGTTTTATTCCCAGTATTGATGGGTCATATTCGATAGTGGTTCGATATTGTCACCTTCCGGCCAAAGTATCACAAGCGCCATGCGACGCACAGTGGATCGAGTCAATAGGAGGAGTCGGACAAAATTATGAAACTTTAAACGCTTGTAACTCCCTTTATCCAAAACTTTGAGGTTCTAGATGTGGTTCCATTGGTTTTCTCGTAAAATTCTCTTCAGAGTGCACCCCTTAAAATTCAAATTGTGACGAAATAGACATCAAAATTTGCAGTTTTAGTCACAAATTGAATGTCCGGACTCTCTAGTTGACTCGATCCACTGTGCGACGTGTAAAAATGTCCGCCACCATTTCATTTTTTTACCGAGAAAGCTGGTTGAATCTGTTTGAAAATTTCACCGAATTTTACCGGCAGGAAAAAAAATTGGTGGAATTTGCGGACAGCTTTGTTGATTAATTTTCCTTTAAAAAAATAAAATGGCGGCGGAAATTTTAAAGCCTCGCATGGCGCTTGTGATACTTTGGCCGGAAGGTGGCAATATATCATTTGGTTCAAAACAATAGAACATAACTTCAAACAAAAATTTCAGGATTTAAGTTGGAAAAGCTGAAAATGAGAAAATTCCTGACAGTATCACTTTTCATTGCCATTTTTTACTCGTAAGAATCAATGATTATCACAAATATAATCCATTCTCTCAGATTACCCCATTAACTTTTGAGGTTATGTTTACGTGTTGAACCAATCGATATCGATACAATCTCGCCTGTTTGATGTATCGAATACGATCCATACGTAATTGGGTTAAAAGCCTGGAGCTTGTCGGTATTTGGCAGTTTGAGTGCGATGAAAACCACCCAAGACTCCATTAGAATTCGGGGTCGAGATGTGGAATTTTATCACCTACTCTATCATGTTAAGGAAGAACGCCATATGAGTCTTCAGACGTTGCTATGTCTCCTCTGATTAGATTCAAATTTACATGGAGAATCGTGAATATTTGTCTTCAAATTTGTTTTAAGATTTTGTTCGTAATATAATGTAAAGCATCTGAAAATTTTGGGGGAAATATTCATAAGCTTTCTCAAAAATAAACATTTGATTGGTAGAGATTTAGCAACATTTGAATTCTCATACGGCGTTTTTCTTTCATACGGCCACGGCAACACTGATTGCTTTCTTTAAATTGATGCAATTTTCACTCGAAACATGCGGATATTACGGAAAACAAGTTTGTCGTCTTAAATATTCACTAATGGTGCTCCCTGTCTTCTTCAGTCACGCCTTCACCTTAATTTTACACACAACAAAATAAATAAATAAAAAAAGGAGATTAAAACATCCTTGCTACATATGTCTGAATCACCCGAATTTCTCCTGACTTCTAAGTTGTAAAGGAGAGAAATTTTATAATTTTTTTTTTAAAAAATTAGAATTTCGCGATTACTCCGGTTACTTTTCATCCTACGGCCCTTACCATTCCCTCCGCCAGACATGACCAGCAATAATCGTCACTTAATTCACCGATCATAATCATAGTATTATCTAACGTTAACATATAAAATTAATGCAGTTTGTTAAGTTTTAGTTTTAAGCCACGTAGATAGATACAAGAAACACTTGTAGTAGTTACGATATATTTAAATAAAATTTCTTTTAAAAAAAAAAAAAAAAAAAAAAAAAAAAAAAAAAAAAAATTCACCGATCCATAATCTGATCATTGAAGATTCGAAATAAAACACGTGTGCTCATGAGTGGAAGTAGGAGGAAATAGGGGGGAAGAGGACGGAGTGCGGTGGTGCCCCCTTAGGGATCAGTGTGAGCCCCCAGAAAATGTTGAAAACAAAGGCTTCACTCTAATTGCAGGGGGAACAGAAGGGCATTCTGCCCCCCATACCCCGCCACAAAAAATTCCCAGTTCCGCTCATGTGTATGCTTATTGCGAGGAAGAGATCGACGATAAATCAAAGATAAAAAGGGACGGATAAGCGCCTGAAGCCTTTATTAGAGCTCACCGCTTGCTTCAAGGTGGCTGTCACCGGTGGCGTGACGTGCTTTACGATGTATCGATTGATCTGCCATTTACACCTATGGAAAAGGATCGATAAACAGGGTGTCCGCAAGGAACATCATAATAATCGATTCTTTACCACAGCTGCAAATGGGGAAATATCGACAATCGATCATTCACGCCTCGCCACTTGCAGTCACCTAGGGGGCCGGGGCCCGCACCCTCTTCACACTTAATCGCCTAATCTCCGATCGGAAATAGACAGCGACGGGAGATCACGAAACCGGCCCCGAGTCGAAGAACCGCGCAACGTCGACGAGGATGTGCGGTCGGATGCGCGGTTTGGCCGCGGTCCCTTCGGAATTACACACAAGTGCGGATCAAGGAACGCAGTATGGTGCACCGGGGTAATTGACTCTCGAAAATTTTAATACACGGATAATCGAGGCAACAAGCTCGTTGAAACATTATTTATGCCGGGCGTCTTTGTGTCCCACGAGAGTCGAACCGGTCGGCGGGATAATGGAGGACGTACCGGATGGAACCGTTCTCACACCTGATGCTATGCGGACTCTCGGGTCGTTCCGCGTTGCCAACCGCCGCGCAAGAAAATTAAACGGCATTGAACTGGATCCATATCGAAAAGCCAGAGAGAAGAGACCCTCATGGCGACAGGTGGAAGCTTTTAATTCCTGGGATTCAACACTTCCTTATGGACAATTATAAGGGAGCAACAATCATTACTCTATTTTTGCTGTGGGCTGTTGACCTACCTACATAGTGGATGATGAGCTTCGGGTAATGTCATGAGCCAAATAAGTTTCCCCAACTTCGGTTGGTTTGCAAAACGAAACTGTCAAGATGTTGTTGAACATCAACCATGTAGGTAAGTCAACGGTTTAATATTGAAGTCCCGAAATTAAAAGCTTCGACCATAGTCGAGATACGAGTGGAGGGAGGGTCTCTTGTCTCTGCGAAAAGCACAGAATATCGGGTGACCCGAAAAACAATGGTACATGCGTTCTTTCTAAACTGAGCCAGAAATTTCAGTTCCTAATTGCAAATTGTAGTCCGAATCTCCGGGGACTCCGGGGAGGCTGTATCTTCCTCACAACGAAATCGATTTTTCCCAGTGTAGAAGTCCATTTTCAAGCTGGCGATGAGTCAGAGGTTGTCTTAGTCAGAATTCAGAGACAAGAGACCCTCCACTCGTATCTCTGTTATGGTGGAAGCCTTTACTTTCGGGGTTTCAGCATTAAACTGTTGACTTACCTACATGGTTGATGCTTAACAACGAGTTGGCAATTTTCTTTTGCAAAAAAACCGAGGTTTGGGAAACTTGTTTGGCTCATGACGTCACCTAAAGCTTATCATCCACCATGTAGGCGGGTCAACAGCCGAAATAAGAGTGATGACTGTTGCTCCCTTATAATTGTCCATAAGGAATTGTTGAATCCCTGAAAGTAAAAGCTTCCACCTGTCGCGAAGAGGCCAGTGGAGGATCTCTTGGATTGCATTTTGCAAAAAGGAACCACTAGCATTGCAATGTTGCTACGATTGTGCAACTTTTTTGTCTTGGAGGAAAAACCCGATTATCCATTAATAGTTTCTATTTTACTCGCTAAAAACTGTGAATTTAAGACAAAAACTACCATCTAAATTTCATAGTTTTTCACGATTTCCACAATTTTATTGCAAAGAATGAAGTTGCACAATCTTAGCATCATTGCAAAGAATGAAGTTGCACATTCTTAGCATCCTTTTTGCAAAATGCAATCCTCTTGTCTCTGCTCACATCCGAGTAAACTATTCCAGAAATGAAGAGGAGATGCGAGCTTGAACGTGGCAACGCGGGTTGTCGGTGCCGTGACTAAACTTCACAGAGATCACAGTCAAAGGGAGTGACATGGGAAATCCTGGCTATCCCACTCATTCGGCACTGGTGAGGAAAATCGAGGAATAGCGGGAGGGTTCCGCCGCCCCTGCCACTCAGCGCCTTCGTCGTGACATCACGGCTCCCGACCCGGGGAAAAGGCTGAAAAGGGCTTGATTTGGGTAACCGGCTCCCAGGCATGCGGCGAGGAGTTAACCGGAAAACGTCGCCACGGGGTATCCGCCGACTCCAGTGCCGTAACGCGGATGGTACAGGTGGGTCGAACGACCAGGGGGCTTGACTGACTCTGCGTAAAAGAAAGTATGACGGCTGAAGAACAGGGCAAAATGTGTCCACCAAATGATGAATGGTTGTAACGACGTGAAAAATTTTGTTTGTATCTGTAGGAACATTCATAAGGTGAAAAATCCTCTTAGAAACAACTTGAAATTCTCGTTGTAGCATCCTGTGGTTCTGGTTGTCGCACTGGAAAAAAAAACACATTAGATCTAGAGTCCAGACTCTTGAAAACATTAACAAGAAAAAATACTCTTGATTCGATCAGATTTAAGCTTAAATCAAAAGGAAATCCGCTCAAATGAAGAGGCTTAGTTCTTGATTCAAGCAAAAATCCGATTGAATCAAGAGTCCATTTTCTTGTCGACGTTTTTAAGAGTCTGGACTCTAGATCCAATGTGTTTTTTTTCCAGTGAACAGTCATAAGGTGAAGAATCCTCTTAGAAGAAACTTAATTCTCGTTGTAGCATCCTGTGTTCTGGTTGTCGAAAAATGAAATCTAATCGTGCGAAAGAGATCTCTAGGGGCGGAATATTCGTTGGAAATTCATTCGACAAAATCAGCATGTTTGTTTGTCCCATCATAACACGGTTCAGACATTATTTACAGAGATGGTCTTTGACTAAAGATTCCTTAGGGGCGGGTGTCTCCGAAGACGGAAATGTCTCAGAGAGCGTTATTTCAAGAAAATAAAAGGGGGAAAAATTACTGTAATTTCATGGTTTCAAACCTCCGCGTAATTCACGTTGTCGTTGGACACTCATAAGTATCAATGGAGGTTTCAAACA